GTCAACATTCAAAGGGGGTCAAGCGGCTCACCCTCTTCCTGACCTTTGGCGTCATCGCTCTCAACCAGGTGAGGATCCCCGATCTCAATGTAGAAGGTTTTGTTCTTCTCGTACTCCTCGTCGTCAATTATTTTCACTTTGATGGTTTTACTGAGGAAGGAGCGAGAGAGGAAAACAAGAACAGGGCAGAAGAGAAGAGAAGGAAGAACAGTGAGGGTAGGACGCACATGAGACTGGAAAAAGAAAAAGTTTGGGAAAAAAAAAAAACGCCAACATTTTCCAGAAGCAATGTCAGAAGGCTGTTTTGCATTTCAGGGTTTTTGTATTTCCACCTCTGATGTCTGATCCAGCTTTGATGCATCAAAGCAGCTCTCGTCAGGATGACTACACTGATATGATACACTCTGCTTTTCCAGCCAGCAGACTGATCAAGACCAAGTTCTACTTTATAAGCCTCAATTTTTTGGCGAGACCAATTTAAAATGCTGACGATGAAATGAAACATGCTGGTGGCTGCTGAGCTCAGCAGCTTTTTAGGCATTTGGTAAGGAAGTAATCAAAAGTCATCAGGATGAATTTGTGTTACAAATCAGTTAGATGTTGAGATCCTGCAGTTGACTCAATGGGTTTGCAGTTTTGTCATGAGTGTCAATCGACCACAACAATATAAAATCACATGGATGTGACTGTTTAACTCTAATCATCTGATGGAAAAAGATTGGCAGTCATATGGATAAAGATAGCAAAGCACCCAAATATGGTCCACATTGGCAGCTATCCCCTGGCACATATGAATAAAACACGGGGCCAGTGAGGGGCCAAAACTGAGCTTACCAGATAAAACCCCAGTATACAATTCTTTCTTACCTTTGAGCCAAACTGGACCATTCAACTCTTAATAGAGCTGCCAGGGCCAACACTGGCTCAGATTATGTGTGCCATGAGACCAGGTACCCATCATTCCCAAATTGTATTTGAATACACTCTTAACTGATGGAAAAACTTTAGAATTAGCCAGAGAAACATTATAACGAGCTAAAAACATTGTCTGGGTCTACAAATTAAAAATCCTACTCTCCAGAGTCAGCCTCACTCTTAGAGGCTCCAACTGGCATCCCATAGGACTCGACTCACTGCCATCATCCTGGTGCCAGACATTAGACATCCCCAGGGCTCCTTTTGTCATTTCTGATTGGTTAGAGCTTTAAGGTTAATATGATCCTCATAAAGTTGTGGCCGACTGATGAGTTTTCTCTTGTATTGTCAATTTACATTTTTAACAGAGGTGTTTATTTTGCCCTAAGGCTTGCAAGAAGTCAACCATTCTGACAACTCAGTTATTGACAAAGTTTGCAAGAAAGTGTCAAAGGTTCATTTTATCCAATCTATTTGAAAATGAAGACATTTGCAAAGGGAAATTGTAGCCACTGAAACAGCGCAAAACAGCACAAAGACAAGTTTAAGACATTAGAAGGCGAAAGAGTGATCGGAGCGTGAACAAGAACAGAGATTTAGAGAAAGATGTCTGCTGCTGCTGCAATCAACACTTTAATAACATAAGAGATACTAGCATTGGACTGTGTTTTACGCCTGGAAAAGAAAAGGTCCAGAATTTATACAACACATGGATGGGACTGCTCCATCTAAAACACCATGTCAAAGATCCTAACCTGAAAACACAGCTAAAATCAATACTTGCACATACTTTCTTTCCTCCCACAAAACGCACAATATCTACGCTCACGACACAAAGATAATGTCCTACTGTTGCTTTTATATCTTTCACATTTGAAATCTAAACACAGGATAGCAAAACGAAACTGCAGCAGAATTCCATCAATGTGGAAAAACGAGACTTCATTTCTCACAGGCAATTTTCGCTAAATAAACCAGTGTATTAAAAAAAAAAAGGGGGATTGTTTAAACAAATGCCTCAGAGCACAGACAGTGTGTATGATTGAGAAAATTTATTGCTGCAGTTGGTCTGGGTCACACTTGGCAGGACATTTCATATTCCAGGTCACGGGGCTGTGAAGCAGGACGCGGCTCATGCAGCGAGTCTGTGGGTGGATGAGTGCCTGTAGACATTTGGGTTTATCTTGTGTTTCCAGTCTGGAACAAAACCCTTATTCTGATCCAAATCCACTACAGGCAATAACAAAGACACACTCTTAATCTGGCCTAGAGGGCGGGAAATGGGAACACACACACGTTATGTAAGCTTGATTTGATCATATTTCTGTGGCCTGTGTTGAAAAGCCCTTGAATAGCATTGTGCTAGCGTCATTACATTTGAATCTATGATGTAAGTGTGCTATATACTGCCAAGCTCTGCAAGCAAGAAATGCACAAGCATCTGTCCCAGGCAAACAGGCTGAACTAAAAGTAAACAGAAAACAACTATTCACAATCCTATAAAGCTTAATGTGCTTCAGAAGGTGTAGGTCAGATTTTTTTAATAGAGTTTTGTCCAAAGGTTATTAAAAGTTATCTTACCTGTTCTAGGAAGTGCTTTAAGTGCCTTATTTTAAAGAAAGTTTAATTCTGACTAAACAGATGACCTAATACAACCAAAACTAAAGTGGATTGCTGCCATCTTAAATAAAGCAAACAAAAACACAAAAAAAACCCTCCAGTCTTAAAAGTCTTGATGCGATTCGTCCCAACATTATTTTATAAACATTTACAATTCGGCTACTCTGTTCATCAGGGGTCGCCACAGCGAACTAACTCGCATGAAGACTTTGCTGTTGTTTTCGTGCCAGATGACCTTCCTGACGCTACCACAGTCCTCTGTGTGGAGCAGAGAGCTGCTGTCTAGGGTGCCTGGGGGAGCATGGTGGGGGTTAAGGGCCTTGCTCAAGGGCCCAGAGTGGGGCAAATGAGGATGGAGGCAGGTGGTTCACCTTTCCTACCCACATTTTTTATGTCGTCTGTGCGGGGAGTTGAAGCGGTGACCGACCGATCACAGGACCACCTTCTCTAACCACTGAACCACCACTCCCTCCTTGATGTATATGGAACACTTTGCAACAGGAACTGACAGTTTGGGGAGTTGAACCGGCAAACTTCAGATCACAGACCCACCTTAACCTCTGCGCCACCACTCCCCATAAATATCTACACATTCATAAGCTGACCAATAAATTACTGGGAATAACCGATTAATGCAACAGTGTGAAACTTCACAAAACATTTGCACTAACTGCTGTGAAATTTTTGAGCTTGATGTTGTTAAAATGGCAAACAGCTTTGATTTGGACAAGCAATTAGTTCAGCAACAATCTTTTAATTCTTCCAACAAACCCGTTGAGAGCTATTTATGACACGCAAGATAATACTCGCAAATAATCTTTTCACTGAACCCCACTTCAAAAGATCTGAAATATCCCTTTAATGTAAACCGGTTCATTTGTGGAAAAAAATGGCTTAAAAGCAATGCATGTGTAATTAAATAAATTCTGTAGACACATTATGACATATTAACATCTCAATTTAGTCTATTTGCAGCATCTGCTTTATAGAAAAATCTAGGATATATTTATATGTCAACACAAAGACATGGAAATATGAAAAGTTAACTTGGAGAGAGAAAGCTGTTTCTGTGGCCCATAACAGCTGACTGCAAACAGATTTGACCTTCTGCTGCAGAGAATCCCATGACCACCAGGCTGGACATGCACCAGCTGAAAGTGAAATGAGCGTTTCACTCCCCTGCCTCAAGGTGGAGACTTTGAGCACTTCACCTGACAGCTGATGGGAAGGAAACATCTTTTCTATAAATTAACAGATCTATAGTCACTTCTATTTTTCAACAATTTATTGCCGCATTCATCCTGCCTTGCAAAAAAAATTAAAAATAAATGACACCAGTGATGTCATTTTGAGTATCTTGTTAGCCAGTATAGGCAGGACAGATTTGAATGGGATTGAGAGCACAAAGTTCTGAAAATAAAACCAATCACAGACGGACCCAAAGCAACAGTTGTCCCATGAGAGTTTGGGCTGTAGAGCTTTGTTTGTACACTCACTGTGGGGGGGAAAAAAAAAGCCTCACACCAGTTTGCCAGGAAATTAGTACATTTACACACATCTCATTGCAAAACCATTATTGTATATTCAGACTGGGCACCAGCACAGAAGGAATTCATTTACAATGGGCTGGATTTATCATCTTTGTCATCAACACCCTGATCTCTTAGCCGACTCATACATGAACTCACAGTCTGAAAAAAAACCCGAACGCAGACACACAAGTGCATCGCTCCACATAACGTGCAGCCTGCTTCATTGCTATGGTGACACTTTGCGTAACCAACAGAGACGGATGGTTTCCAGAGCAGAGACGTGCATTTGTGTGGGTTGTACGGTCATGTGACTGTGTTTCATAGGTCACATGTTTTACACAGACTGCACAGATTTGTATCAGTGTTTGTGTAATAATGTGTGTGATGGATACCGCATAATACTATCTCTTGCTGTATGTAGTTTATTTCTGCATTTGTATTTGAACAGATTCCAATTGTCTAATAAGAAAAAAACGTGTGCACAATAATATAAAGTAGCTTATTAAGCATGAAGTATATAATCTTGAACATTTATTTTGCTGAATTTCCATACTTGGGGCAGCCCTTCCCCCATTTCCTGGATGACTTCACAAAGAAAACATCCTGAGTTGTCAAACCCTTCATCTCTCAGGGCTTCAAACTCACGTTTCTCCTCAAGCATAGGAGTACTGTAGAGCACTCGGGCAGGGGTGGCATCACACTTGCGTGGCAGCATTCGCAAATTTTTCACACTAGCGTGCTTTCAAACAGGAATTTTTACTGCAGTAATGCAAAGATGCACACATGTAAACACACAAGCTTGTACACACGCATTACTCCAGGGACCAGGGCGTGTGCACATCTGTCTTTCCACAGAGATGTCCTCCATCTGACTTTGCTAAAAAGCATACAAAACAAGTGAGCAACTGAGCAGCTGTGGCAGTTCTCCACTCCAGTGCGTCTCCATAAAACGCATCTCCCTTCATCTGTCCCCTCTGTGTCATCTATTGTTTCCATCACGGATATTTAATATTTAACTGTAAAACTGAGAAAACCACTGAGAAAATATCCAGAAAAGTAGATGGTGGAACAAAACAAACAAAA